CTCCCGACATGCGCTTTGTCAACCCCCCCCGGCGCCCGCATGCCTTTGAAGTGGACGCCAAGATTTCTTTCCCCGTGAGCGGTGCAGCCGATGCACCTGTTAAGCGCCGCTGCCGTCGCCCCCGCAGCCGTGGCAGGGGCTGGGGGGGACCCGTACACTTCGCCCCCTCCCTGGTCAGGACCAGGGCTGCTTCGAGGGGTCTGGGGCTGCAGGGTCTGGGTAGTGCCCCGTTAGCACCAACGAAGCGCTCCCGGCAGCACCGGGGCTCGGCCGAAGCCTGGGGTGGTGAGGGCAGGCTGCTTGCACTGGGCTGGAAGCACCCTGGGACGCCAGCGAGCTTTGGGTTCCTAAAACCAAAGCAGCAGAAGACCCACCCCACCGAGCCGATCCCAGCTTTGGTGTCCGCTCCTTTTCTTTTGAAGGAAGGAGAGAGGAGCATCCCTTGAGTCGTGGCAGCCCAGCCGACAGGTTAGGGCCATCCCAAGCCACGCTGGCCTTGCCTCGATGCGTGCAGGCTCCGAGCCCACCCTGCTCCCTGCCGCGTGCCTGGCTGTCGGGTGGAGGGAGGTGCTGGAGAGGCACGGCGCGCTTTGTACTGGGCTGCTCTGCACCGTGCGGGGTAAAATGGGTGTCTGGAGGAGCGTGTGTCCCCGCCTGGCTTGGGGTGCAAGCGTGTCTGCGGGCACAAGGCACTAAGTGTGAAGCTGGGGCTTTGCCACCGGGAACAGAAGTCCCTGCGTGGGATTTTCATTCCCAGCCTGACTGGTGGAGAGAGAGGAGGGGTTCCTTTCCTACCCTCCGCTGGCTCTGGAGTCCGTAGGAGGCTGCCTTTACTCCTTCCCAGTCCAAAGCAGCTCTCTGCATATTTGGAAGAAAATCAAGTTTGGAAGCGGCTCAGCTTGTCAATGTTCCAGCGCCTCTTAGCTACTGAGGGCTTAACTTTCAGCAAAGTTTCCATGAACGCAGGAAGCACTGACAGGCAGTCGAGCAGGAGCTCGGGCTCTTGCAGGAAGGAAATTCTGCTTCTCCCAGCCGAGGAGGTTGTTACTGGGGGGCCGGTCTGGCACGCAGGGAGGAGAGGCAGCGAAGCACTCGTGCCCAGGCGCTTGCAGCATGTCTTCCCGCTGCCGAGCCCTTGGAGGCTTTGCTGTGCTACTCATCCTTGCTGGAGGATGGGCTGCGTTGTGCCGCGGCTGCGGAGGATCGCGTTGAGCTCTCTTTGGC